ATATAAGCATTTGTTGTTAATTAGCATAACTGGTACTATAATTAATCTACCATAATCGATACAGTAATTAATGAGTATGAGTTAGGTCTTCAGTTAAATTTAAAATGACATTTAAGCATAACTATGCTGTATTAAGTTTTTTTTTGTAAAAGATAAGCTTTGTTTTGAGTTAAATCTAGAATGTAATTGTATTATTAGATATGGAATACGACTATATCGTTGCAAATTCAAATTTGTGTCAAGTTTGGCCACTTTTGAGTTAGATTACAATCGTGTTGAAGATACGCTTGATTAGATTAGAACAAACGACATACGTTTGTGTTAAATATCACTTAAATCTAAACTATGTAGGACTATGTTAAGCTTCAATTGGAATTGCTTCAAGAACGGATTATATATGAATTATGGCAAGATGAAGATTATTAAATTTATAGGCTGCATTAAATTTATTATGAATACTATTTAACTAATATCATTTCGTCTATTATTTTTTATCAATTCACCGCGATCGTCTGAAATTGAGCAAAATGAATTGATGATTATTATTAAAAATTAATTACTTTGTTGAAGTAACTATCTACAAAGTACAAAAAAGAATAGCTCCGTCAAAAAAATGGAAAATCATTTTGGAAATTATAGAGGGTTTTCAAAAAAGTAAGACGATCATTTTGGCACCTAAAAAATAATTTTCCATTATAGATTAATGTTAAGAATAATAAATACTATTAAATTATGTGCATTGTTTTCAATAATTATATTATAATGCAATGACTTGCCTCTCAAGTTTTTTTAATAAGTTAAAAATATTTTCACAAGAATCTAAACACTGCTTTGTAAGTATAGGTATAGAGTAACAGTTCGTAATCATTCGTTCACACCAATCGATTATTAGCGATGTTTCAGTACGCTTCAATATCTCATTCTTCTCATTTGCACAATTCTTAGAAATTTTATCAAACATAAAATACCGTTTGAAACACATGATTCCAAAGCTTTTGCCCCACAGCACTTTAAATCGGCTTTGTTAATCGCAGAATACCAAGGGAGGTTTTAATATTGAAATAAAAACTGCAGACACTAAAAGCAGAAGAGTACGCTAAAGCTATTAGCAAATGAAAACGAGCTGATGCTAATACTGTTTATCAGCTTGAGATTTTTACTTCCGCGTTATTTTTACACTTAAGAACAACTTTTCGTTGACTCATCATCCTGTAGCTATCACTTCTAGAATCGGGAGTAGAGTCTAAAGAAGTCTACTTTGAAGTGGACACAACGGTGAGAGCTACTTTGGACGAATACTGTGACGCGTGAGCCAAGACCAACTTACCCCCCATTAAGTTTCTGTTTCATGTATCTCTTCTTACGATTCAGTCGGGTCCTCGGAGGTGTCTGTCCGTAAATATCACACATCGCTTGAATCGACTCATCGAATTCGCTGGTCGGGCTGCTCGATCCCTTTTTGCTGCAAAAGCACAAATCGCCCGAGCGTAAATAAAATTTTTTTTTTCATCTCTCGACTAAAAATACCTCGCCCGCGAATTCTGGCGTTACACAATGCATTGCGAGAACTGCCATCAGAAAAAAAAAGTAACTGAGACTATTAGCTGAAATGACAGAGATTGATGAACCAAAACTGATAAGTGTTACAGAGATTAGGAAAATTAATCGATCAACGCATCATGAGTAGTATAGTTGATATACAATAAACCTTTTCAGAAGATAAGTTCAAGTTTTACAAGGAGAGGCCAATGAAAGGTTAAATGTAGACTTGTTTAAACTGAAGATCAAAACAAAATGATTTTATTGGATTTCAAGCTTTTGCTTTCATAAAGTACAGGAGTTAAATAAATCTTCTGTGTCAGCTTTTCTACTGGTGATATTATAATTTGAGATTAGTGCTGGTGTATTGAATATACTACAAGTTTGACCTTGAAATCGAAGATCAAGTTACATTCTTATCGTGTCATATTGTACTGACCAAGGCTACAGAAAGCGTCAAAAAATCATTTTGTTCAATTCAACAGTTTTCTTTAAAAATAGTGGTTAATTCTTATGATTGTTAAAGTAAAGTCCAGTTAGAATTAGTGTATGCATTATGAAAATGAGAATTTGCTGAGGACTGCGGAAAATTTCCCTTATATGTCAAGGTATAAAATATATAAGCAGTAATGATTCTGTTAAAAATGCTGAAATTTCAAGCTTTTTACATTCTTTTAACCATTCGAGTACTTGCCTTTTTTCTAACCAAGGATAACAGACTGATTAATTACAATTGTACGTAAGTTGGTAAACAGTGAAACGATAAGAGTGGTGATTTATTTTGTATCTGCCTCTGAAATGTAAACATGCCATAAATGGAATCAGTCTAGGTGTTGATTTTTCATGCCATTTTTCGTGAGAACGATTAGATTGTAATACGATTTTCTTTAACGTTTTTAAATTGTTATTTAACCTTTCAATTTCACCTCCAATTTCGAAGTCAAGCTCAATTGTACAGTGCTTTTTTCTTAATCGTTGCTTGTAGATTCTGTGATGTGCCACTTATTGGTACCTTCTACGAAGGAATTTTACATACTTTGAAAAGATACCTCGAATAATGCTATACCGCAGATCTACAAAAAGCGCACTAGTAGCGAATCAAAATCACTTTTCGTTACTACAGAGTATAATATAATACTTACATTACCGACATTTGTCGTATTTTTAGTAAAATTGAAGGTCCTAAGCAAAGTTTAAACTGCGAAATTTTATAAACTACGAAAATATTATACGTATATAATATTTAACATTTTTATTTCCAAATTAGTTAGTGCAATAATCAGTGGTAAATAAACCAACGTTTGGAATAAGTTTCAGATGCATATTTTCCGTGGTATTTGAGTTAAGAGGATTACTTGTTAATTGCAGTACAAAAATTCTTCAACCCATTGTTATATGACGTTTTTTTGTGAGTATATTAGTTAGGATTATAATATTATTATTAATTTATTCAATTAGTAAGGAATTCTACTTTGATTACCAATTATACATTTATTTTGACGTTGAATATTGATAAGAAATCAATGATACTACATACATTTCAAGCACAAAAGATGCACACGTACATGTTTGTTGAGTTAATTTGGAAATCTGTGTCACGAGTGTCATGATATTATATATACGATAGAAAGTTAATAAAAGCTATGCTGTAGTTTTGGCTTTATAACAACATGGCGCTTGATCCTGGATATATGCATGTTAATTAAAAAGGGGCAAAATGTAATATGATTATGTATTACTAACAACAGTTCATTCGATTCGAAATTATTTTTTATAATCGTCAATTGTTACTAATTTTCAATTGAAATTAAAATAATTATGCTGAATCTCAATTAACAATTACAAGGAGTATTTTACAATCGAATCAACAGTTCCATTTTAATCAGCATTAACCGCTTACTTTATCTCGTAACTTCGTAAAACTTATTTTATTTTTAACAAATTCTCGACACATAAAAGATATATATTTATTGTAAATAAAACAAGTAAAATAATATTTATACTATTATGTATAAAATAATATTTATACTCTATGTTATCTCGATGATGTTAAGGTAAAACAGGAGATGCATGCAGGGTAAGGGAAAAAGATTCGAATAACATCTTGATTTTGTTTAACAACCATCATTCTAGTAACAAAGTAAATTGTTCATGATCATTCATTCATAATACAGAACTATATCATTTTTCACATTTCAAATATTTTATGGCTTTTATTCATTCGTCATTACTCCAGTTTCACTTTTTCTTTCTCCCTCTTAACCTCTTGCCCTATAATTTCTCTGATGATTAGAATTATTATATCGTTAATAATTTACTAACAAAGATACTTGTTCTATATTTGCATTTGCCGCAATGATTAACAACTAATAATAATTTATAATTTCAATTCAAAATAATTAAATGAATGTTATACAACAATTTAAATTTGCTAATTTCTATTTGAAATATTCGCCACGGTATTATAAGACAAGGGGTTAATTTTAGTTCTTCACTCTTCAACGATTCACGCACATCAGTCACATTTCTTCATTATCTCACAATTTTAAAGATCCAAATTGTACATTCTTCCAATCGCTTCTCACTTTCAATACTCCAGCACAAACATCCGCTCGGACCTCAAATAGTAAACAATCAAATATCACATTATACTAGCACACAAAATATTAGTACATATGCATTTGATGCTTTATTAGTTAATAAAATTTGTCACTAAACTTTGATCGAGACTTTCAATTTGATTGAAAACACGAGGAACATTGAAAATTATAAAGGGTCCTAATTGAATGATTAAGAGATAGATGCGCAAGTAACAGCACATTATGTCTACGTTAGTTATAGGTTAATTTTCTAAATTTTGCGTGGGTAATGGCAAAAAATATTTCTCGGCAGTAAACGTTCAATGACACTGGACAAAATGAATTTGCAACTGCAGAATACAATGAATGCAAGAATACAAAGTACGAAACAACGATTTTAATAAATGAACTTTTTATTTATCTGAAAGCTGTTAGGTTTCTATCAGACTTTCATTAAAATTACTTCGTTATCACGTTCGCAGACAGTACAAATTTTAATGAGCTGCAGAAATAGAGAGGCGCATTTTTTAGTACTCCAAGGATTAAGGTGCATAATAATTTGAAAAAATTAAGGCTATATAAAATTAAATAAAATGATAATGTGTCTTATAAATCTGAACATTATAGCATTCGTGTCATTTTGCATTACATAGAAAATGAATGCTATAGCATCCACGTCCGCGAACGTGTTAACATTAACCTCTTGTATAAGAATCGCCATTTATAAGATCAAAACAAAGAACATCGTAATATTATTTAATCCGATTTAACATCGCTCAGAAATAAATCAATAATAAATTGCATCATGTTACACAAAGTGTCCGAAAAATATTAGACGATTCGTAGCATTCGTATTCCTAATGAAAGTATTATTTGGAAAATCATTTACCATTTTACAAACTAATGTTTCTTTATCAAGACATTAACAACTGAATATTAAAGGACTGATTTCAATCAGTTGAATCCGATCACACCGTAAGTAAATACACGTAACCAAAAAACCCACAGTGGTGTATTTTTTTCGAACTATGTTTCAACTTTTCCACAGCTTTTAATATCATTTTCCCCTCCCATAATAATACTACATTCACTTGTCCTTAGTAGTTTTTCACACTATACACAATTTTCAAGAAATTAAAAAAATTCTATTATAAAATAATGTAAAATATGTACATAATAATATTAAAAAAGACACTTCACAGGAAAACACTTATGCACAAAATTAGTTAAAATATTAACATAAAATTTTAATATTAATATTATTTTAATATTAAAATATACATATAAAACATTTACGGTATTACATTTTGGTTATACAAATTAAATCTGATTTCGTTACTAGTCTCAGTTAAATAGAAACAATGACCATTTTTATTTTTTGTTTGTTATTACTATTTATGTCTTTATAGTATCTTTGATACGTAAAATTAATTTAACCGTAATGATTAGAACACAGAATACAGAAAAATTGTAGTTAAAATAATAAAGAGATACTGAAACGATAGAAAATAATACACGCTTAACTGTGCAATTTATGTTTCATTGATAAATAATTTATCAGACTAAAACCTATATTTCGCGACGCAAATTATCACCCACATGAAAATTCGACCGAGAGTTACATCGACCGTCAGCAACGCATTCCGAACACTTCAATTCTGACTCAAAGGGAGGCCTTTAAACATATAAGCATCACTTACTTTCCATATCTACAGGTAAATTTTTTGGCAGCGACTGCTGGCAGCCGCAGACTGAAAAGCGAACTCGCAGACGTTGCACGTGATTAAGTGCACGTGTTCAGTTACGTAGAGACAACTGAACGCAGAATAAAAGCAAACACATCAACGAAACGAATACTATGATACTTCCTTGATCTATACAATTTTTCAAATAAAGTAACAAACATTTTCTGTCTCGACATTCGTTATTCCTCCATACGCTACTATATACTTCGAACTATTGCCGATCGTATCCACATCCCCGAAATTTTAAAATAGCCATAATATTTCTGCTAACTGTTTTGTGATTTGGAACGTTAACAGGCATTTATCAATCACTAGAATTCTTCTTGTGAAAAACATAATGAAAGTCAGTATGTAGATAAATATTAAATATTTTTACACTAACGTACATGTATCTTCAATTATTTTTCAATATTATTTTTCAATGCCATGGTGTTTTCATTATATTGTGACTCTTATAAAAATTTGAGTTAATTAGTACAGTTAAAAATTTCACATTTATTCAGATCTAATTAATCAATAGCGCATTCAAACTGAAAAGAAACATTGAACCAAGTGTATCATTGTAAAGAGTATTTCTTTCTAAATTATTGCATGTGAGTCTTATGATAATTTATAATAACAGCTTTTGTCTGGGTAAAACTTGTCCGTGAGGTATAATACATTACTGACAACAAGTATGCAAATTATTGTAAAAAGTACTTTAAAGACTGTAGAAAAGTCAAACTATAATGTTCAAAGAGAAGTCATAAATGTTTTCTAATTACGTGTACACGTAGGTACTACTCGTACGGTCAAACACTCAGCTGACTGCAGTTTAAAATGCGCGCCCCGGAAATCGAACCTTACATTTTCAATTATTAATATCTCGGAAACGCAGTATCAATATCTGAAATGATAAAGGACTTTTCGACTAATACTATTGCGAATAATCTGAATATCACGGGTTGTCCCGTACTTTTGGAACATCCTGTATATTCTTCACACATTTCAGAAAACGATGCACGTACTGTCGCTGCGAACGGATTACACAAATTCTCCAATTATTTAATCCGCTTCATATCGGGTAATCTCACTTGCGCGTTGTTAGGCGTCATATACATCAAAATAAGAATTATTTACATAGCACTAATAATTTGACATGCACATCGAATGATTCTATTTTTTTCTTGCAACATCCGCAACTATTCTAAGTCACATAATATTGTCATAGCGCCAAGGAATAATTGTTAAACTGTGAACTTAAGTGGTCAATGAAATAGAAACGAATGTTGCTCACAAGTTGCATGTTACAAAACAACTAGCTCTGAGGGACTGGCGATTAACGTGTATATGATATTTCCTCTCTGCTGTGTTACATAAATCTACGATCTACTTTATTCGTTATTAAAAATGTGTAACTTTTCGATGACATGTAAACAAAGTATGGACATCCAATCGCGTATCGAGCCGGTCGTATTTCGTGTTATACAAAAATGCACCAACCACGTGCTTAGGTTCTATGACGCGTAAAACTCACCTAACGTAGCCAGTATCATCGTCAGAAGAGCCTGAGAAGACATTTTCTGTGGCATGGCTTTGTCTAGTGTAACTCGACATTCTTCGTCCATAAAAAGCACATAACATCCGAGACAACGCTGTCGACGTTCACAGAGAAACTTAAGCGCAGGTGCAACATATTGCGCTGTTGCCAGTTGAAGCTGAACAGGTGTCTCAGAGAATGAAATGAACACGTGATAGCGCGGGTAGTTTGAAAATCCTTTACCGATTAAGCAATTATCTGAAAAAATATACCAAAAATTAAAGTAGAACATTAGTAATCAGTAATAAATATAACTAAACAATGTTAACCATCTCAATTATACATTTCACATAGAAATAAATCACACTTTCATATAAAAGTTAAAATATGAATGGATATTAAATTGGTTTAGTTTAAGAAATAGTATTATGATGATAATCATAATAATAATTATTATAGAAATTTGCAATCACGGGGCTTTTATAACATTTATTCTTACTACTTAAGATAATAAATACTTTATACTAATTATCTTTAGGACTTATAATATGATAATAATTTTGGATAATTAATATTGTGCTAACATATGATATACCACAACAGTGATTCGTTAAAGTTGTAAAGATTATTTAACAAAAGAAAAATAGTAAACACTTATATGAGTGCCAGGTTTGCAAGAACTTTACTTGTATAATTAACATGTTTTAAAATAACATTTTTAACTATAATTTAGATATCAAAACGTAAACGGTGAGCAACCTAGAAATGATATTAATAGTTGTTAGCCAATATGTAATAAATTTAATCAAATTTATAAATTAATATTTATACTCACCTTGAAATAAAAATGGAATGATAATTGCGTATGTATAAATTTTATTTTATTTTTAATTTAATAAATTTATTATTTTCTGTTATTCTAATTTATTCTAATTTAAATGAGATTTTCACAAATATGAATTGCTTAAACGTTTTTGGTCTATTAATAATATATATAACACATATAATATAATTGTTTTATTTAAACAATGTCTAACTTTCTCTGTAAAGTACAAGTGATTTTTTATATATCCTCGCACCCAACAAATAATATTATTTTTCAGTAAAATACAATGTCTATGCGTCTCCGTGATCGTACCTTGTGTGTTTCATGTGTGTTCAGGTTTCATGTACTCCATAATATTGCTATGAACATTTATTTATATCAAAATAGAATTCTTGGCAGATTTTTAATAGGTTCATGACAAAATGTCCACGGTCATCGAAAATTACATGAATATTTTCTTTTTTTTTTTCATTTGAAGG